TTACAGGCATGAGCCACTGTGCCTCGCTGTTTTCACTCATTTATGATACATCCTCTGTTTCCCCCCATGTGCTTTATAACCAGGGATGCCAAGGATGTCCTCTGGCCCCAGCCATACCTCTTCAATGGCTCCTCTGGCTTTCTGGATCAAGAAGCACTTCTAACTCTGAGTTTTAAATCACCATATCATAGGACACCCATTTCTGGTCAAAGGAAAGACTATCACCTTTGACCTCCCTTTGTGCAGGGAAGCGTCACTCATATGATCACTCATGTGCCTAGAGAAATCTTGCTGTTACGATTGAGCCCATTAACCATAGTAGATCTACTGGCATCATTAACACCAAAGCAATCCATTTGTGGTGAACATATTATATATATAATTATGCTTCTATCCTTCAGTAACAAATATTAAAAAAAAAAAAAAATCCAGTTCAGCATCTGGTACACAATAACCACAAATACATGTCATTCCTGCATTTGAATCCAGAGTGAAAAAAAAAAAAAAAAACGGGTAGGGAGGACATTAATGCTTAAGAGGCTGGGAATGGTGCCAAACTAGCTGGATTTGAATTTCAGTTCTGCTGCTTATTTAACTTCCCTCAGTTTTCTAATCTGCAAAATGAGGATAAAAATAGCAACTTACAGGGTTATTATAAGGATTAAATTATATAACACATTAAATGACTGACATATCATAAGGGCTCAATGAAGGTTAGATGTTGCCATTATAATTACACACTAGGAGCTTTGTATTACATCATTTAATCTTTACAACTCCCAGTTCATAGACAGGTTAGTAAGGATACTCATAGAGTGGTAGATATAGCTGGACTTAAACCCCACCTGCCTGACTCCAAAACCCACACTCTTCCTATACCACAGATTTTCCAACTATTCCCTTATCTTACTCCCTTCTTTTTTTTTTTTTTGATACAGAGTCTTTCTCGTCTCCCAGGCTGGAGTGCAATGGCACGATCCTGGCTCACCGCAACCTCTGCCTGCCGGGTTCAAGTGATTCTCCTTCTTCAGCCTCCCAAGCAGCTAGGATTACAGGTATGCGCCACTACACCTGAATAGTTTTGTATTTTTAGTAGAGACGGGGTTTCTCCATGTTGGTCAGGCTGGTCTCGAACTCGCGACCTCAGGTGATCCACCAGCCTCAGCCTCCCAAAGTGCTGGGATTACAGGCTTGAGCCGCTGCACCCAGCCTTACTCCCTTCTTTAATATATATACTATCTAAAAATTCATGCACTTTATGGCTTTCGAAGTATATAGTATTTTCATATATACTGCATTTTATCTTCTCAATAAATATACGAGCTGGGCAGTGGTAGGCAGTAGCTTAGGCAAGGGTAATTTTAGTCAACATTACACGGGCAGTAGGTAATGAAGCTTGAGCCAGAACCCGAATCTTTTGACTTCCAGTCCAGTATTGTTTCAACAATATCACATCTCCAACGAAAGGATCAGATTGTCTCAATATTTTACTTGGCCCTACATGTACATAGTCACATGTAGCATAAAAACCTAACCACCTTTTCAATGATGTCAAGAGTAACAGGAAAACACTTTTGTTTGGAGAGCTCTTAGCAGACTGTGATCTGGCTCTTTGCATCTGGCTGTCAGTGTCTAGTCCTGCACAAGCTTACTGATGCTAGGTTTTGCATCTGTCTTAGTAAGCAGAAGACATAAAGGCAGGGTAAACATATATGGAATGAAAATGGAGGACATCTCAGGTATTGTGAGTTCTCACTCCCTCCACCCTTTCACCTGTGTCAATGATGGTTGGCCAGGTTTTCACATCCACAGCTGCTGCTGCCTCTCGTGACCTCAGTAGTCTCATTAGGGTCTGACTGGTGAGAATACAGGCTGCTTTGCTGACCTGGAAAACAAATGTACAGAAATAAGCACCAGGAGGCTCAACCCCAACATGCTGTCACAGGCCCTGGCTGCTGCTAAAAGCCACTCATGTACCACACTGGGCAGGGCAGTTTCAAAGAACACATGTGGGATAGACGAGGTCAATGTTTCTCCCTTGCATGTTTCCTTCTGGAAATGTGTCACTTAATTCTCTCAGAATAATGGACCTGTTCACAATACACTGTGTTGTTTATAATAGTGATTCTCAAAATATTTCATAGTCACAATAATCTCAGTATGGAGTCCACAATCCCATGATTTCATGAAGACCACAATTAAATAAAAACATGGATTTTGTAGTGCTCAGGATATGAGAAGAATCAGATAACCATGCTTGAAAGAGATTGCTTCAGTCTCTAGTGAATTGTGAGACTTACTACACCTAGACCATACACTGAACCTGAGGAACCCTGATGCCGATACAAGCTCTCACAGAAACTAAGTTCTCTTGCACAGCTATACACAGAAATGCAAAGTGACCTACTTTGCCTACAAACTGCATCAACAGCAACTGCCCTCCCTGCTTTTCTGGCCCACTTTGTAGAATATAACAAGGGCATTTTGCTGAATTACACTTTGTAATAAAATCATCTATGGTGATCATGGCTTTCATACTGTGGGCTCCAGTTTTGCTGACAGAGCAGCAGTTCTCAGAGAAGTAAATGCTACATGAACTGGAATTTTGTAATCTATCAGCACTGGCCAAGGCTTCCCCTTGCTGTAAACACTAGGATCTGATGCAATACACACTTAGCTTATTTTCTTCAATTCTCATATCCTATAAAAACTTCCATTATCTCCAGAGCAAGATCTGAACACCTTTTAATGCTACACCAAGAAATTATCAAAAGTAACTAAAATAGAAGTGACCTAACACTGGGGATAATTCAGTTTGGCATTTAAAATCCCCTGATTATTTTGCAGGAAATACCAGACAGCATGTTTTAGACAGAAGGGGAGACAGAAACACTTTTTTTTTTTTTTTTGGCCGGGTCTGCTCAGGCTGAAGTGCAGTGGCGTGATCTCGGCTCACTTCTAACCTCCATCTCCCAGACTCAAGTGATCCTCCTGCCTCAGCCTCCTGATTAGCTGGGACTATAGGCAAGTGACACAATGCCTGGCTACTTTTGTATGTTTGTTGGAGAAATACTAATGGCTGCTTCACCTCCTTAATGTTTCTGATTACTGCCCACAATTCTGTATGTCACCAATACCCACTTTCCCCCAGTTCCTTCACTGCATAATGGTTACTTTGGCCGGATTAACAAAAAGGAGGTAGTTTCCGGGAGACAAATTTGAATTTCTGACTTAACAAAACTGGAAATTAGTAAAGATCCTTAGTTGTCTGAATCTGGATTTTAGGAGATGAGGAAAAGGCAAGATACAGCTGGTACTTACATCAACAATCATTCTGACAGTGGGCAGCGTGGCCGTGAGGTTCTGAGCATGTGGAGGTCTGACAGTCACAGGTATACAGCCCGCATACAAGCAGCCATAGAAGGCAGCAATTAACTCAATGCCTGCAAGACAAAAAACCCTATCAGGAGAGTGACTGAACTGCCTGAGAGCACCGAGGAACTAAAAGGCAAATCATCCAAAACTATTAAATCATGTGCCAGACGGGTTCTATAGACCATAATTTAACAGAGACTCTAGCAGAAGGTATTGAAAGTGAAAGAAGCAGCATATAAAACTTTAGAAAATACACAGAAAACAATAAACAAAAAAGGAAATCAAATATTCTTGGAAATATTTCTGAAGAAGGTATATTGACATTATTACTTGATGTTACTCAGGAGAAAATAACTGCAAAAACCAGGAATGGCTAACTAGGAAAAAACAAGAATGGAGAACAGAGAGGTGAGGAAGCCCTGAGCTTTTTGAAAATATTTAGAAGGCTGCTCTATAAAGAGCAATCAGACTTCTTAGATGTTGTTGAAGGGGCGTGAGTTTTAGGGACCAAAGTGTGACTCAGTCTGAGGAAGACTGGGCAGAGGCCTCCTCAGGAAGAGCTCAGGTCCTTCCCCGTGGCCTCTCACTGACAGGTGCAAAGCCATCTCCTGGGCACGCGATGGAAGGGACTGCTCTATCATGTGATCGTCTATGAACTCTCAATATCCAGGTAAATAAGGCAGCATATAAGAGTCACAGAATGAGCCCAGCATGGTGGCACACACCTGTAATCCCAGCACTTTGGGAGGCGAGTGGATCACCTGAGGTCAGAGTTTGAGACAAACCTGGCCAACATGGTGAAACCCTGTCTTTATTAAAAATATAAAAATTAGCTAGGCATGGTGGCATATGCCTGTAATTCCAGCTACTCGGGAGACTGAGGCAGGAGAATCACTGGAACCAGGTAGGCAGAGGTTGCAGTGAGCTGGGATTGCGCCACTGCACTTGAGCCTGGGCGACAGGGCGAGACTCCGTCTCAAAAAAAAAAAAAGAATGACAGAATGAAATGAAGTGTCGGGGGATAACAGGACGGCCAAAGAAAGCTAGACGTATGCGTGGATTAGGTGACAGAAATAACAAAGGATAGGAAAACTCAAATATTTCATCCAGAATTTTGAATCTTTACATCAAATTGTCACCAAATAATTCTAAACCCCTCTTACTATGAAGACGAGGTTGTTGAATTAAATCAGAACATGAAAGTAGCAGTAATAGAAGAAGACCAAACATCACTCATATGAAAAATGTTAAGTCAACAGAATTCACGCACAACATTTCTTTGGAGACTGGGTGAAACTGTCCCATTCCTAAACATTCACAGAAAGAAAGCATCTGTTTTCAGGGTTTCCAAAAGCCAAGCAGCTGAAGTCTTCATTCATTCATTATTTACTGAGTGCCTTTTATGTGCCAGGCACTAAAAGAAATATAAGAGCAGACATGGTCCCAGGAGAGCCACTGTATTGCACAAGTTGGGTGGGGAGGCTTGGTTCTCACCTCAGCCTGTGTGCATGGTCTTTTAAGTGTTGGGAAGTACACAGCACGCAAGTCATAGATAGTGGCCCTGAGTGCCTATCCTCTTATAATTTGTAGTCAGTCTAGTACTGGAGCTTAAAGTCTAGTCTACCAGTCTAATGCTTACCAGGTGGATAGAGCAACACCACATTATCGCCTGCATTTAGATGTCCCTTATCACCAAGAACAGATGCAATCCTCTCTGCTCGCTTATGAAGTTGAAGGCAGCTGGCTGTGCATACAGTAGTTCCCTTTAAACAAAAGAAAGGATAAATGGGTCAAAACTCAGAAAATAAACAGTAATAAGCACAGCCAATTCAACATCATACCTGAAAGGCTTGTGCCTTTGTAGATTATCCTTAGCAAGTTATCAATTCCAGTGAAAATTTCCCTGGCATCAAAGACATGTGTGGGGCTGGACAGGGTGGCTCACACCTCTAACCTTAGCACTTTGGAAGGATCAGGTGGGAACACTGTTTGAGCCCAGGAATTTAAGACAAGCCTGAGCAACATAGCCAGATCTCCTCTCTACTAAAATTACAAAAAAATCAGTCAGGTGTGGTGGTGGCATGTGCCTGTAGTTCCCGCAACTCAAGAGGCAGAAGTGGGAGAATCACTTGAGCCAATGCACTCCAGCCTGAGTGACAGAGTGAGACCCTGTCTCAAAATAAATAATAATAAAAAATAAAAGACATGTAATAGAACCTTTTTCTTTTTTCTTTCTTTTCCTTCTGACATGGTCATGCTGGTGCCTAAGCTGCAGTGCAATGATGCAATCACAGCTCACTGCAGCTTGCAGCCTCAAACTCCTGGGTTCAAGCCATCCTCCTGCCTCATCCTTCCAAGAAGCTGGGGCTACAGGCATGAGTCACCGTGCCTGGCTGACATTTTTAAATGAGATATGAGAACCTTAATACATCTGTGGGCTTGAAGAAAAGCCCACTTCATATAGAGGTGAAGCAAGGAAGTCCCCCAATTTTCTGTCATAAAAGTAATGGTTCTTAAGATTTTTAATGTATTTTTAATAAGATGCATAGCATATTCCACTCATTGAGTTCTATTATTGCATTAAAAAAAAATCAGATTCCAGGAGGATGGGAGAGATGGGTATACTATGGATAGGTCCCTAAGAGATCCAATAGGCGCTTCCAGTCTTCCCCACTCTGGTGAGAAATACTACTGTCCATACGGTTACAGACTTTGAGCCTATGACTCAGCCATTAACACAAACAAAATTCAGCTGACTCCCACAGAATGAATAGCTTTAAAATACCATACATATATATATATAT